GGGAGGGGGGGGACAGGAAATGCAAAATTTCAAGAAATGATGGGATTATGCTATAAGAACGTTGAGGGGAATAGCGGGAAGATAAACCACGTGGATAAAGACACGGGAAATGATGGATGACAGCCATGGGAGAGGTGATGGAGAGGCGGGGATGGTGTGGAGAAAGAGACAGACGCTTGGATGGCTTGGGGGATGGAAATAATGATTTCTTGTTCACGAGTTTTGGGAGAGAAAATGAAAGAATGGCCCAGGCACCCACCCCACACCTCACACTTTTCAAAGCTTAATAGACTCATGGGAGACTCAAGCAAAAACTTTATGATATACATTCCTCGTATGTAACATTCACAAACTTTTTCTTCCCCCCCCCCCGACCCCCACACACACCTTTTTTCTGTCTACCATCATAATTATTTGACAGTATTTCTACCTATCCAATGTTAATCTGTGCTTGTCTCCAATGCCTCAGCTGTGGTGAAGAAGATTGCATTCTGCCCATCAGAGAGTGAAAAAAGAAATTTTAAAAATAAAATATAACTTTACGATTTTTAATATTTTTTTGTGCAAAGCATGCATTCTCAATTCTTGTGCCAGATACAAATTATGTGTGTTGCATAGCAAGCCCACTTGAACAAGTTTAGCTTTAATATTCAAAGTATCCCAATTTGTTCTTGCTTTTTCCTGGTATCATCTCTTCTCAACCCATTTTCCCATCTAAGAACATTAAGTTTTGCATTGTCCTGAGGTATTGAATTTCGTTTATTCAATTGTGTTAATGAAAACAAAATGGAGGTCTTTTTCGCACTGATTTATAAAATCGTTTCAGTTCTCTCAAAACGAAAAAAAAATAATGTTGGTATCAGATGGCGGAATATGTCCCAATGCCGAAGTGAAGCTTATAAGAAGTAGCAAAATACCCAGACACATAATTAAAACGTTATTGCGATATTTTGTGATACAAGCAGACTGGGTCCATTAACTATAAAAGGTTTCTAAATAAATAAGTAAACGATGGACATGTTACAAAAGAGGACACCTGCCTCCTTTTCAATGTAAGCAGACATGAACATGGACAAAACAGAAATAGATAGATAGATAGATAGATAGATAGATAGATAGATAGATAGATAGATAGATAGATAGATAGATAGATAGATAGATAGATAGATAGAC